TCAACTCAATCCAGCAGTCTCAGGTTAGCTCTTGTAATGTAGACATCTTTGCAATAGCCCAGTTCCCCAGCTCTCTTCTACTTTATGGATAAAACAGCACCTGTCACCAGTGGCTTAGGAGATGCTCAAGTTTCAGTGTATAGGTAGTGTGCTTGGTTCGTATTTGCCCCTTTCTAGTATCACACTTGTGTTATATGCATGACCTCTTTGTTTTATAGCAGTGCACTCAAAGCAGAAGTTCCACAGGTGACCTTGAGGCATAAGTGATAATGTTCCTCATACAGGGACAGAAGAGCAGAGGTACACTGATTGAGGCAGAGAGATCAGTTTGGAGCCTAAGCAGTAGGCAGTGAGGGAACTTAAAGAATGCAGGCAATGTTTTTAGTGAGGCAACTTGTTAGAAATCATACAGTTTGAAGATTATTGGAGCCAGGTATGGTGGGTGCATGCCTGCAATCCCACCAACTAGAGAAGCTGAGGCACAAGTTCAAGGCTAGCCTGGGCAGTTGGTGAGGCCCTGTCTCAAAATAAAAATTATAAAGGGCTGGAGATGTAGTTCAGTGGTAGAGTGCCCCTGAGTTCAATCCCCAGTACCAAAAAACAAAAGATTATTACTGGAGAGAGTTGACCTGGAAGCTCTATTAAGAGTTGGGATCAGAGACTCTGAGAGGACCTTTCTGCAGACTAGGTATTTTGTCCTTTGGGGGTTATTTGAAACCTGAAATCATGTAATATTGTTACCAAATCCACAAAAGGCAATAAGGTCCTGAAATAACTTAAGGATGGAATGTATTTCCAGAGCTGCTTATTTATTTTTTAAATGCGGGTTTTGAACTGAGTCCTGCTTAAGAATAATACTTTCATCCCAATTGGCATAGCACAGCCTCAGAATTCCTGTGTTGGGCTCTTTTACTTTCTGTATTTTAAGTGGGTAAAAAGAGATTAAGAGCTTACAATGAAGTTTCAAAAAGAGGGGTAAAAACATATTGTGTGTGTGTGTGTGTGTGCGCGCGTGTGTGTGTGTGTGTGTGTATTTAGCAAAAAGGAATGTGGTCCCAGCATGGGACAAAAAATTAACAAAAAGTTAACTTCAGATTAACTTCACTCAAAAATAGATTAGGGAGGGGCTGCAGATATAACTCAGTAGTAGAGCATTTGCCTGGTATGTGAGGGGTCCTGGGTTCAATGCCCAATGCCAAGGAGGAAAAAAACTAAAAATAGGTTAACGCAGCAGATAGCTATCATAGGAGAGAAAGAAGGAAAAGTGCTTCCTAGCTGCAGTCCATCCATGTAGGGGGAGAAACAGAAGGCTAGTCTTTCAAACCTTACTGTGTCCAGAAACCACCTCTGAGGGCTCATTGAAATGCAGCTTCTGAATCACCAGGACTGAATGGGGTCCAGGATTCTGCATTTCTGACAAGACCCCAGGTGATAACCACTCCACTGCTATTCCCGCTGCACTTTAACTGAAATCCAGGCCACAGAGGAAGAACCACAGTCACCTGGAGAGCTTAGTGGCTTGGCTCATAGCTGGTGGCCTAGAACAGCAGGCAGAGAGCTTCAGGGAAACTGCCATAGTTGTTGCACTTGGAGGCAGTGCGTCCAGATATTTGATTCTCATTTCAGGACTCAGATCCATGAGTTGGCTTCTTCTAGGTGTGCTTATTGGATAGAAAACTATTTCTATGGAAACTAGTACAGGATAAATGTCAACAGAGGGTTGTATCAGTGCAGCTTCTGAAGAAACAGAAGTCAAAAATTATAAAATATATCTGGAAGAAAAGATACTTTCAGGTGTCACTCACCTAGCTTCTCAGGCTTAAGAATTTGGTGAAAAGCCAACATCCATTCTTTTTTTTTTTTAAAGAGAGAGAAAGAGAATATTTTAATATTTTTTTTTTTTGTTTTTTGGCAGACACAACATCTTTGTTTTTTGTATGTGGTGCTGAGGATCGAACCCGGGCCGCACGCATGCCAGGCGAGAGCCATACCGCTTGAGTCACATCCCCAGCCCCCAACATCCATTCTTGACTGACTGGAACTTTTTCACAAGACTCACCACTTCCAGCTCTTGGGAAGTTGCACTGGGGGAGACCCCTTGCTTCACTTCCATGACACATTTGGATGCTTTCTCCCTCACTGCCACATCTCTAAAAACCCTCCTGCTCCCAAAGTGTAGCAAGAAAGCAATAATCTAGTATGATCATGGATGTATTTAAAGACTTAAGAACAATATGGACTGTAAATGAGAAACAAGAGGGACTGTCAGAAACTTACAATGTAAGCCAAGCTGTCATAGCAAGAGCCATTTGGTGATAAGAAGAGGGCAGAGGTGTGAGCCTTCACAGCACTCATTTTTTTTTTTTTTTTTTGGAGGAGAGGGTGCAGATACTAGGGATTGAACTTTGGGGCACTCAACCTCTGAGCCATATCCCCAGCCCTGTTTTATATTTTATTTAGAGACAGGATCTCACTGAGTTGTAGCACCTTGCTTTTGCTGAGGCTGGCTTTGAACACACGATCCTCCTGTCTCAGCCTCTTGAGCTGCTGGGATTACAGGCATGCACCACCATGCATGCCCCTTCACAGCACTCTTGAATACAGTGGCCACAGAGCCAGTTACGATGCCTTGGAGGAGCCTAGGGCTGGGGACAACAGGTGAAGTATGGCATTGAGGGGACACTGAACTACACAACTTTCTCCTAAAATTACCTAGAGCTAGATGGAGGACACAGATTGTATGCTGACGCACTTGCGATCACTGTTTGAAATTAATTCTTGGTTTCATTGCCCAGCACTTCAATATTTTAGGGTTCTAGGTCAAAAGAGCATACCAAATTAACTGGAGAAACATAGCATATTTAGAGAGATAACATGATCCCTCCTTGATAAATGTATTCTCACTTTTTGAAGAATGAGTTTGCTTATTTATAAACCTTTATATTCTCCAGAACACCTTATAGTAGCTCTAAGAGTACAAAATAGACTTTCGGTAAAATACAGGTATCATGTCCCCCCTTAATATTAAAGTAACTCAGAAGCTTTTTTTAAAAAACCACTCTAGCCAAGCACATTGGTACATACCTATAATCCCAACGACTCCAGAAGGCTAAGACAGAAGGATCAGCAACTTACCAAGACTCTGTCTCAAAAAATTAAAAGGCTTAGGGTGTGGTTCGTTTGTAGAGTGCCCCTACGTTCAATCCCCAATACCAAAAGATAGCAAGAGAGAAAATTACCAGACTCCATCCAGTCTGTCCCACACTGGTCATCATACCCTCCTGTAGAAAAAGACTGTGAAGTCAGTTAGTGCTTCTTACTGAAGTTCAGGAAAGTATAGAACATGCTGGAGGAGTCGGTGTGCATTTGTGGAAGTAGGTGAGCAGGATTCAGGCAGATCAGCTTATCAGTGCCACCTTTGTGATCTCCAGCAGCTGCTTTCACCAGACTGACTAAGCCTGAGCTTTGCCAGTTCAGTTGTGAAGTTGGGACAGTGGAAACAAAAGGTATACTTCAGATGCAAGACTTGGGTCTGTCTGTAATCAACGCTGAATAAGTGTATCTTCTCTTTAAGTATAACTTTTATTTAAATTGTCATTTCATTGTACGCTGGGCTGGCACTGGGGTTTATTGCAGAGACCCTGAAAGCCAACCAGCTTTTCCATCAGCCCAAGGTGAAGTTTGTCTCTTTGCAGGCAACCGTTTGGCAGCTCTCCCGATGACTTGCTGTGTCCACATCCTGCAGCTGAGTCTCCAAGTGATGAGGGAGCTCTCCTGGACCAGCTCTATCTGGCCTTACGGAACTTCGATGGCCTTGAGGAGATTGATAGAGCTTTGGGAATACCTGAACTGGTCAGCCAGGTAAGCATGGGAGCAGGGATGGGCACATTCTTATGGGCACAGGGGTGGCCTTTTGTTTTGTTTTGTTTTGTTAACAGATAGTCTTTAGTTGGCTTTGTAGAATATATTTTACCTCCTAACAGTCTGGCCCTGCTTTCTTTCTCCCTCTGTCCTGTTGCTCTCAACTAAATTTTTGCCCAAGAAGGAGAAAAGTGAGAATGAGCTTTACCTGTTATGATTTGGGTTATTGATTAACAGGGCAGAAACTCAAGCCCAGCTTCCCTTTGCACACAGGGAGGGGGCACACACGGAGCAGAGAACAGAGAAACTATGAGGATCGTGCTGCCCAGTGACGTAGACCCTCCAGTGCCAGTGGGCATTGGTATTAGGTATTACTCCCATGCTTTTGGGGGCAGTAACCAGCCTAACGGTCTCAAAATGCACCCTGTTGTCTGACTCTGGCAGGAGCTGTATGTGTATGTGTGAAGCAGCACTTCCTGGTGTGCTGTGGGAAAAGTGACCAGAAAGCCATTACAGTCTGGTCACTGTCTTCCTCTTCACTCAGCATTTATTTTTTATTGCCAAATGTGCCTTCCAAGGTTCAGTCTACTACTTGGACCTTTGGCGTGTCACCAGGTCTGTGAGAAAGGTGATGCAGAGTGAGGGAGACGTCTCTGCAGCATTAAAAATAGTCTTGTCATAATTCTGACAGTTTAGCAGACATAAGTGGGAGTTCAGACTTGTCGATTCATAATGAAAACAACAGAATGGGAAGAAATGACGTGAGGTGTTATATGAGATATAACCTGAAGTAAATCAAGGAAGGAAAATGAAGGTTAAGTATTTCCTGTGTGACTGCCTTTGCCTTTAGTATCAGCTAGAATGCAGGTTTCCATATGGTTATTCTTGAGTGTCTGAGTGACATTTAAAAATGTGATCACTAGGACAAGGAATATAGCTGAATGGTAGAATGCTTGCCTAACATGTGTGAGGCTTCGATTCAGTCCCAAGCACTATGAAAAATAAATTTGATCCTTTATTGCTGAGTGAGTTGGAACATTGTTTGTATCAAAACTAGTGTTGTATGGTCATTTAATATTTTATGCTCCTTTTTTCATATTTGTATTATTTCTATTTTGTCTTACCAGATCCATCATCATTATAATGTCAAATTAAACTAAATTATAGAAATGTGGCTAATAGGTAGTTGGGAAATATAAACTACAAATGGACTTCATTTGTTCTCAGGAGAGTCGTGTATTATCTTTAAAAATGGAAATTACTGCTGGGCATGTTGGCATATGCTTATAATCCCAGTGACTCAGGAGGCTGAAGCAGGAAGATTGCAAGTTCAAGGCCAACCTTTAGCAATTTAGTGAGGCCTTAAGCAACTTAGTGAAACTCTGTCTCAAAAAAAAGAAAGAAAAAGAACTGGGGATGTTGTTCAGTGGTTAAGTACCTCTGGGTACAATCCCTGGTACCAAAAAATAAAAAATAAAAATGGAAATTATTTAGCATGCATGTGGCCCTAGGTTCAATCCCCAGTACTACAAAAAAAAGAAAAAAAGTTTTCTGTCTGTTAAAAGTGGGCAAATATTTAAAGTTCTGAGGTAGCTCAACAGTGAGTGACCCCCTGACTGAGGCTCCATCTACATGTTCTAAATTATCATGGAGAAGACAGGGAGACAGGGTCCACAGGCTGACCACTGGGTGGTGCTAACCTCACCTAGGTTTCAGGATAGCTTCAGGATTACATGGTTGAGCCTTTGAGGAAGAACTAGGACAATTTCAGGCTAAAGAAGCTTGAGAGCTCTCTTTTGCTGATAGAGTCTTTGCTGCCTGTGTGCCATTCCTAGAAGTAGGCAAGGAAAAGGAGAATCCTCCCAAGTACAGCTCTCACCTCTGCGTGTGGATATTCAGGGACACCTGGGTCTGAAATGTTCACCCTGGGGGAAATCCTGGTGCTTGCTACATAGATAAAAGTCAAGAAGTAACAAACACATTAACATGTCTAGTTGGTAATTAGTGGACAGTGGCAAAATGTAGAGCATGTAGGAATTACTAACAGCCATAGAGAACAGTTAAATGAGCAAGACACAGCTTCTTACACTGGTGAGGAGCTCAGGCCCCAAGTCACAAACTGGAGAGAATTCCTGTAGCTAACTCCACACCTCCTGTCCTGCTTTGTTATTTGTAAATGGGATCGTGTGGTTGGTACCCCAACATTGCTGATCCCAGCTAGACACCAAGTTGTACTTATCTAATTAAAATGATTTATACGAGTATGAATGATCAAGAAAAAAGGACTTAATAGTTCTAGGGGATATTTGCGTCCTTAAGTCCAGACCAGGCTCTGATTGGTGGGGTAAGCAGGAGGCATGCTATAGTCATGCCCATTTCTTCCCTCCTGGTCTCTTCTTTGTTGAACAAAGAAGCATTCTCTGGAAAGAAAATAGAGTCAAGCTAAAGGTACCTTTTATAGTTAAGTTCAGTGTAGGTGTGAGAGAAAACAGCCTCTTATCTACTGTGATGGTTTAGTGGCTTAATCTGTTTGTTATTTGGGGGTTTTCTCTTCAGAGCCAAGCAGTAGATCCAGAACAGTTCTCGAGTCAGGATTCCAACATCATGCTGGAACAAAAGGCCCCTGTTTTCCCACAGCAGTATGCGTCTCAGGCACAAATGGCACAGAGTAGCTATACTCCCATGCAAGAGCCAAACTTTCACACCATGGGACAGCGGCCTAGTTATGCTACACTCCGTATGCAGCCCAGACCGGGCCTCAGGCCCACGGGCCTAGTACAGAACCAGCCAAATCAACTGAGACTTCAGCTTCAGCACCGCCTCCAAGCACAGCAGGTGAGTTCTTCAGTGAGGCCTATACAGTTCAATGGGAGATAAGAGGGCTAACATGGCCCAACAATGCCCCAGCTGCAGATATTTTGGGTTAGGGAGGTCTTCTTCTTGGGAAACGTGATTTGAAGTAAAGTATATTTTGTTTTTAAAATGCACTGATTCCTATGTGTATGCATTTAGAATCGCCAGCCTCTTATGAATCAAATCAGCAATGTTTCAAATGTGAACTTGACTCTGAGGCCTGGAGTACCACCTACACAGGTAAGGGGGCAAACCAGCCCACAGCTTTTATTGTATCCATTTAGATTGTCTCAGCATTTCTCCTGCCTGACAACCTGAGTGAAGTAATGTGTGGACCATGAGATCCAGACCCACACACTAGTTCTACAGTGTCCCAGCTGTCTATTTAATAGTCTGTCGCTTTTTTAGTTCCCTCCTAATCGTGCATTTTTATTGCCAGGTGCCATTGGTTCTTGTGATTCATGGGATTTATGTTATATAAAGTCACTAAATTAGAGAATACTAAACTATTGCTCCTCTGAGGAATGCAAGGTTGGGTACCTATAAGCTTTGGTCACATTTTCATCAACCAGTCAGTACATAACCTTGCATTAAATGTGTTTCTGTTTAAAGGCTTTTAATATGTACATATATGTTGTTGACTCATTAACATTGAACTCACATCCAGTAGACTGTAACTCAGGCCTGAACAGAGCTTATCTAACACCCAGGCTTTCTCCATGATCACATCACAGCCTCTCACACTTAGACAGTGCTTCAACACTGCACTTGGGAGCTATTTTAAACAGTAAAATCACCAACGAAAAGCATGACAGTGTGAGAAACATGGAACCAATTAGGCCACAAAAGGCCCCTTGTTTACAGTATGAGAGCTGAAACAAGAAGGCAGAGTAGCCTTGTTCAGCATCAGCTGGAGATATGCACGATGGGCATCTGGAACTTTTGCCCCTGTGCTCTTGTCCTTGAGTGGCCACCACAGTGCCATGAGTATTAATTTAGTGAGTAGGCAACTTCATGTAAATGGAAGTCACACATCAGGATGACTGCCCATGTCTCCTTAGGACCCATAAATAGCCTCGTACTGTAACAAGCACCAGCATTCTTCCCTCATCCTCTTCTCTGTTCCTCTTCCTTACCCTGTCTCCTCTGTCCTGGCTTCTCTGTATGTCCCTCTCAGCCACTCTTATTCCACCATACCCCTCTTTTCTTCCTGTGTTCAGCCTTTCCTGAAGTGTTCCTTGTCCCTTTTTGGCATCGTGACTTGGTTTCTTTTTAGATTTGAATGCCCCTTGAAAAACACTAAACTGCCATCCTCAGGGCTTATGTCACAGTCTTCTTATAGAAAGGACTGTGCTTTTGTGAGTCCTATATTTAATGGGTTAATTGATAATAACATTCAACTTAACCCTGCTAAGTCCTAATAAGTTTTCAGAGTCATTTCTGTAGAAGTTAGAAGCTCCCATGCTCAGCCATCAGTTGTTCAACTCTTAGTATTTCTTTCCATATAAATTTTATTTTTCAAATAATTTTACACAAGCTGGTGCCATTCATTGTCCTATCTAATCTGTGACTACCCCCAATGTTTCCCTCCATCTGTTGCCCTTGATTTTAGGCACCTATTAATGCACAGATGCTGGCCCAGAGACAGAGGGAAATCCTGAACCAGCATCTTCGACAGAGACAAATGCATCAGCAGCAGCAAGTTCAGCAACGGACTTTGATGATGAGAGGACAAGGGTTGAATATGACACCAAGCATGGTGGCTCCTAGTGGTATGCCAGCAACCATGAGCAATCCCCGGATTCCCCAGGCAAATGCACAGCAGTTTCCATTTCCTCCAAACTACGGTACTGGACTTACATCCCCAACACCTTTCACCAGTCCTTTCTCCCCAGTGTCCCCCAGTCCTGGGTCACAGCTCCTCTCTCACAGCTCTTTGCATGGCTCCCAGATGAATCTGGCTAACCAGGGAATGATAGGAAATCTGGGAGGACAGTTGGGGCCTGTCAGGAGTCCCCAAGTCCAGCACAGTACCTTCCAGGCTCTCAGCTCAGGTACCACTTTTCTCTGAGTGCAGGTCTTACTTAAGAATGACCGAAGTAAGTGTGTATGTGTAGAGTGTGTCTATCTTATAGAGTGTGAGTGTGTATGAATATATTTGTTGTTGTCATTGTCTGTGAACACAGGTGTATATGTATATATTGATATTTATATTTGATTTCCTCTGAGTCTGACTCAAACAAATCAATAGATACAAAATACTGAAAGACATAAATTTATATACAATAAATATTCTATAACTTTTGAAGAATGAAGACTAATGATTATACCAGATCTTTAATGAATAGATAATTCTTAGAAAGTGCTGTGTAGAAACCACAATGGGAGACTTGTTAGTTTTCTTTCCTATTGATTTGTTATTTAATGTCAGTCTTAAGAGATGAGATTCCAAGAGTATAATATCATAAACATTAATATTTGTGTGCATGTCATGTATAATTAATAGTTGAATTATTAATGAACCTAAAGTGCTTACATTAACAATCAAAATTATTTTTCCTACCCTTGCCTGAATTATCTATAAAAACAAGTATTAAGTCTTTGTGACTAAATTCAAGTCTCCTATTACTTTAAAGAAACAAACATAATGTGCAGCTTTTTTCCAGCAAAAGCTTAAACTTTTTATAGCTAATTTAAATATTAAGCATGTATGTTTCACAAATCTTAAGCAAAAATTTACTTAATACCATCCCTGAAATATTCTACAAAGTTGCTTCCTTTCTCCCCCCTCTGCTTTGTTTGCTCTATTTCCTTTTTTTTTTTTTTTCCTTCATACCAGGGATTGAACCCACGAGTGCTTAGCCACTGAGCTGCATCCCCAGCCCTTTTTTTATATTTTATTTAGAGACGGGATCTTGCTGAGTTACTTACAGCCTCACTAAGTTGCAGAGGCTGGCTTTGAACTCATGAACTCAGCCTTCTGAGCCACTGGGATTATAGGAGTATGCTGCACCACACCTGGCTCAATTTCCTTTTGTTTTTGTTTCTGTGGTGCTGGGGATTTAACCCAGGGCTTTGTGCATGCAAGGCAAGCCCTCTACTAACTGAGCTATATCCCCAGCCCCTCAATTTTCTTTTTGATAATTTAGAAGTCTGCATAAAAATTCTTTCTTTCCTTTAAGGGTAGACTCCATTTGCCTCAAAACTAAGCAAGTATCATATGTTGAATATTTTCTTTTATCATTAATCTTGGATAGCACTGAAGTATCAGAGTCCTTTTGAAGGACAAAGTAAGCTAAACATCAATAGTTGTTTTTCAAAAGCATCCATCTTATCATGGAATGACTTGTTAATAAAAAATTATTCATGTGTTAACTTTTCTTATAGCTGAACTTTAATCCATTGTAAACCTAAATAATCCTGATGTAGTGGATTAAAGTACTATTAAATCCACTAAATTTTTTTAAATATTAAAGACTTTGACATTCAGGTCAAAGATGGATATATATATATATAATTAACCCATTGTTGATTTGGAGAGGGTTTGAGGCAAGAGTAATATTTTATCTCACCCGGAACTTGTTTGTTAGTATGGCTTCTAGGCCCACCCACACACACACCACCTACTGTAGAGAATCAGAGTGTGGAGATTTTTTTTTTTTTAAGTCTTGCATTTAACTCAGCTCAAAATCTTTTTCAAATGTAAGTAATTAACCAGCACATGCTCATGTATTTGAAGGTAATTTTCTATGTATATTTAATTTGGAATGTTCTTTTTTCCCCCAGGCTTTATCATAAAACTAATGGTCGCTTTTGAATTTTTGTTTTGTTTTTTAAGGAATAAGTCAGCAACCTGATCCAGGCTTTACTGGGGCTACAACTCCCCAGAGTCCTCTAATGTCTCCCCGAATGGCACATACCCAGAGCCCTATGATGCAGCAGTCTCAGGCCAACCCAGCCTATCAGGCCCCGGCAGACATGAACGGATGGGCGCAGGGGAACATGGGCGGGAACAGGTAATGCCAAGTTTCTGTGTCTTTTTGAGATAATGGTCACCAAGGAAACTTTCTATAGACTACCTTCCTCGTTTCTGTATTTTTTTTTTTTAACTTATTTGCTCAAGTAAATCGCTAAGTAAGCCAGTTTATTCATCTCAGGGCAGAAGTCACCCAAAATTTGCAAAAGCTTAGCAAAATACCTCTTCTTTTCAAGTAAAAGCAAAAACTTTAAGCAGGTATCACCCCACTAATTTATCATAGAGACTGCTGTGGAAAGGCAGTAACATAAAGCCACCCTTTTTCAGTCATGTTACAAAAGCAAAATGGAAAGCTCTTCTGATGCAGCCGGAAAGTGGGGAACACACTTCAAGAATTGCTGGGTGGTTCCTGCAGCACTTCCCCTGCTGATTAGGCCTCATCCATCCCATCACCTGATGGCTGTCCTCCCTGGATTCATGCAGTTTAGTTATTCACTCAAAGTAAAAGCCCTAGCAACAAGTTCTCAAAACTGCCTGCTTCTGTCTGCCATTGGGCTCTAACATTTTATTGCATCTTCCCTCTGTGTTCTAGCATGTTTTCACAACAGTCCCCACCACACTTCGGACAGCAAGCAAACACCAGCATGTACAATAACAATATGAACATCAACGTATCCATGGCAACCAACACGGGTGGCATAAACAACATGAACCAGATGACAGGACAGATCAGCATGACCTCAGTGACCTCCGTGCCTACGTCGGGGCTGTCCTCCATGGGTCCCGAGCAGGTAAACATGAAACACCAAGCAGCCTGGTGTCCTCTGATGATAGCTTTTGTCTAATTTTGCATTAACTGTGTCTTTCCACGTCCTTAACATCTTCCTTCAATTCCCACATTTATTTTGAAGACTGTTTTTTCACCCTGTTTTCACCTATTAGTGAGATTAACAAAAATATTAAGAACAAAATAAACTTGAAAGGATTCCTGACTGCTGAAGAATTTTTTAAAAAATATTTGTTAACCTTCACATCATTTACATTTTTTTTCATTTGAGGAATTTAGCTATATCTAAAATGAATCTCTAAAGATTGAATGTTGAGTCTGCATTTTACATTGCTTTATTTTGGGCTTGTAGTTTAAGAACTGACGTTTTTCTTAATGTAAATACCAAATGAAAAGCAAGGGACAAACTACCTGACACCCAGTTAGCTTAAAATAGTACTTCATTCATGCAGGGAGGCTATCACAGATAATCCAAGAAGTGTTCCTTTTCATCATTGGAACGTGGGTGCCATGATTTTTGGAAGAGAGTCAGTTTATTTTAATAATTTCATTTGGTATTAAGTATTTCCGTCCCAAAGAATACACCAGGTGGCAAAGAGACTCAAAGCATTTGGTATAGTAAATTGCCAACCCAGAACTCAAAAATAATCATTTTATCATGGCATTTACAGAATATCTTAGTTTTTTAATATATATTTTAATACATATGTGTGATATATATATATATATATAAGTTGTAGATGGACACAATACCTTTTATTTATTTTAATGTGGCTCTGAGGATCGAACCTGGTGCCTCATGCATGTGAGGCAAGTGCTCAACCACTGAGCCACAACCCCAGCCTCAAAATATCTTGTTTTTAAATGGCCCAAAATGTTAGTCATTCTGCTGCTGATCCTCAGTGGGTTCATTCAAAGTAAAATTGTGGCAAGGACCCTGAATTTTATTTCATATGTGGAAAAATTGAGGCATAGGTACTTTAAAGAACACAAGCAATAAGTCGTTATCGGCCCCATGAATTTCAATCTTGTTTTTTATTGTTGTTTTTTTCTTAATGTGATGCTGCAGATTGGCCTTCCACATGGAGCTGCATCCTCAGCCCTTTTTATTTTTTATCTTAAGACAAGGTCTCACTCAGTTGCCCAGGCTAGCCTCAAACTTGCATTTCTGCTATCTCAGCTTCTGAATAACTGGGATTATAGGCATGTAATACCATGCCTGACTGATTAGGTCTATTGAATTCTGATGTTAGTAAACCACAATTTTGTGAAATTTTCCAAAAATGTTACAACTCCTCAAGTGTTTTAGTCTATAAAATAATGATTAATAAATATGTAAGGTGGTGCATAAGGAAATTGAAAGCCCTTTGTAATTTAAGAAAGCTGTATGTTATTCATAACTTTTGCATGGATTTAAAACCTTTTGGGGGAAAGTGGGGAGACTGGATATCCTAAAGATATAAGGAAGATTAGTAGAGTAGAAAGAGATTCAAAGAGAGGAGAGACAGGAAAGGAGAAGAATTATGGAATGAATTTAACAAAACTGTGTGTGTTATGTGAATATATAAAGATAGCACCGCAAATTCCACCTTTATGTATATGTAAAAAGCACCAATCAAAAATAAATAAGTGAGTGAAAGGAAGATCAGTGGAGTAGAAGAAGGGGAATATTGGGAGGGAGGGTGGAAGGGAAAAGAAGGTAATGACGATTGAAAGGGAATAAATTAAACTCAACCATGTATGATTTAGTCAAAATAAATGCAGCTGCTGTGTATAACTATAATGAATGCTATAATTTAAAAATCTGTTAAAAATAAAAAAAATTTTAAACTTTTTGAATATCAGGGTTAATTTGCAGGCCAAGAAACACAACTGCAGTGTCTTCTGATAAAATCATTTTTGTGTGTATATACAGATGCTGCTGGGCATGGTGATCACGTATACCTATAATCCCAGCAGCTCCAGAGGCTGAGGCAGGTTTGAGGCCAGCTTTAGCAATTTAGCAAAGCCTTGAGCAACTTAGTGAGACCTTATCTCAAAATTAAAAAGAAAAAGGGCTGGGGATGTGGCTCAGTGGTAGAGTGCCCCTGGGTTCAATCCCTGGTGTTCACCTGTCCCCCAAAAGGAAATACACACACACACACACACACACACACACACCTCCTAACAAATTGTTGGCTTTGTTAGGGTAATTTTACAAAATCCAGCGCTGTTTTGGGTATTCACACTTGCTCTTGCTAATTACTAACTTGCCTAAGTGACAAAGATGTCAGGAGATTGCATCTCAGATGACTTTCACAGTCTCGAATATGAGTCATTGGTCTAATATGAACCAGTTAAAAGAGTGAATGGCATGAAAATGTTTCCAGTATTGTCTGTTTTATTTCTGTACGGAATGCAGATCAAATTTAATTTCAAAAGCAGCAAGTGTATTGCAAGTACTTATTTTTATGTTTCTCTATACTCTCCTCAAAATGTATACATGGGAGAATAGGTATAGCGATGAAGTCCTTTTTTTTATCCCCAGTAGGGATGGAGCCCAGTAGTGATGCGCAAGTTAGGCAAGTGCTTTACCACCAAGCTACATCCCCAGCCTTGAAACCATTTGTATCATGCTTTTTCATATACTCCTAAGAAAAGAATAGGAAGCATAAGGGGATGGTTGTTCTCCAGTGCTCTTTTGGATGTCCCACTGTCATGTCTTGTTGCCCTCAGGTTAATGATCCTGCTCTTAGGGGAGGCAACCTTTTCCAAAACCAGCTGCCTGGAATGGATATGATTAAGCAGGAGGGAGATGCATCACGGGTAAGAAACAGCATAAGACTATGGTAGTGAAGTGACATGAATCTTTTGTAGACCAAAATTGGCATAGATTTATTATCAACCAGTACATTAAAGGTGGTTATAAATTATCTGATTTCATTTAGCATATAGTACTTTTTTGTGAATAGTTGTTTCCTTAAGCTCATTGTAATTGATCTTATATTAACGAATCAAGAACCCTAATTTTGCAGAGTATGGTAGCTTGCACCTGTAATCCTAGTGACTTGAGAGTCTGAAGGCAGGAGGATTGCAAGTTCAAAGCCAGACTCAACAACTTAGTGAGACCCTGTCTCAAAATAAAATTTAAGCTGATCACAATGTCTCACACCCTTAATGCCAGTGTCTTGGGAGGCTGAGACAGGAGGATCACAAGTTCAAAGCCAGCCTCAGCAATGGCAAGGCGCTAAGCAACTCAATGAGACGCTGTCTCTAAATCAAATACAAAATAGGGCTGGGGATGTGGCTCAATGATTAAGTGCCCCTGAATTCAATCCCTTCAACCCCAAAATATATATAAATAAATACAATTTAAAAAGGGCTGGGGATATAGCTCAGTGGCAGAGCACTTGCCTAATATGCATGAAATCCTGGGTTTAATCTTCAGTGCCCCCTAAAAAAGTATGTGGAAGATTTAGTGACCCCTTCCCGCCCCCTCAACATTGTAGCCAGAATGCCACACCAGGTAGTGTGACTCCAGAGATCCATACCATGCTTGCTGCTGTCATTCACCAAACTGATTCTGGCCAGTAGCTGCCCATTGATGCTAGTCACGGAAAAAATACTGCCTTAATGATTAAAACCCTATAAATGTAATAAGATATAAAAATATCTTACTAGATTTTTTTTCTGGACCTACTAGAATATTGAAAGGATTTCTAACATTTTCATCAGTACCATGTAGTATATTCATATGAAATCATATTAGTGATACAAGCTAGGAATGTGTATCCTCAGCTTAATCTTATAAAAGTACATTAACTATTTTTCTCTAAGAAGAACCATAATTACAAATGTTCTTCTAGGCTCTGAAGAGAAGTGTGTGCCTGGTCAGGGACTAAATCTGTCAACTGGTTATATATAAAATCAATCTATCTATTTCTCTCTCTCTCTCTCTCTCTCTCT